GACATTATCTAGTTCAGTGGTTTTCAGTCTTACATATTAGAATCACCTGAACAATTTTTAAAACTTTCAGTGCTCACCTTGCATCCCAGACCAGTTAGACAAAAATAGGAGAAGACCTAAGTAACAGCATAATTTTTAAAAAATCCTCTAGGTGGTTACAATTAAAGTCAAGCTTCAGAACCACAGGTACAAAGCCTTTGTTTTATAAATAAGGAATTAGGGGCTTGGAATGATGTAGTGATTTTTCCAAAGTCTTGAAGCTAGTTAGTGGCAGGCCTGAGATGAGTGAGTAGGTCCATGTTCAACTTTTCCCTGCTGCCTCTGTATCATTTAGGCAGAAGTGCTTTAAATATAAGGGAAAAATATATACTTTTAAATAAAACATTTTAAATGATTCTTTTGGGATTTTAATTTGAAGTGTTGTTTACCCAAGTATAATGCATCTTTCTTTTATCTCTGCATAATTGTCCACTCAATAGGTGAAATATTTGATCTAACCATTTCCTGAGATATTTAGCAATCTTCTTTTATTATAAATGTTTTATTTAATTTTCATATAGTTTTTTAATATTTTATAAAAATTAGTATGTACGCACACTTGTCTCTGGCTTCTCTTATTAAACATTATTTTTGTGAGAGTCATATTGTTAATAATTGTAGATTGTTCATTCTCCTTGCTCTATTCCATTACATAAATATATCATAATGTACTCATTCTGCTGATGGTATTTGTGTTAATTTCAGTTTGGAACTGTTATAAATAGTTGTGCCATGAGCATTCTGGTTATCATTCAGTGGGCATAAATAGTCATTTTTATTGGGCATACACCTAGAAGTGGAATTACTTGATCAGAGTATATGCATACTTCCAGTTTTAATAGCTACCATGAAGTTGCTAAAGCAGTTTTGCCAGTTTATAATCCACCAGAAGTAAGATCCTTTACTACACTTGCAAATTTTTGTGTTTTATTTTAACCATTTCAGTGGATATAGTTGCATGGAGTAGTGGTTTTGTGTTATTGTCACACTAATGTGCTAAAGCACCCTTCCATGAGTTTATTGGTCATTTTGTGAAGTGCCTGTTGAGTCTTTGTCTCTTTTTCTTTTTCTGCCCCTCCCTCCTTCCCTTTCTTCTCCCTCCCCCCCCTCTTTTTTTTTATTTTTCCATTTGCTAGGCACCAAACCTAGGGCCTCGTGCATTCTAAGTAAGTGTGCTACCACTTACATTCTTGATTCACTTGGTTTATTCACTAGTCCTCTCATGTCGATGTCTGTTCAATCTTTTTTGGTCATGTATCTCAATTCTGTAATAGATTCCTCAGGAAGATGCTCAAGGGTACAGTATTATCATATTCATGATAAAATCATATTATCATAATCATTTGATTATATATACAATCCATGACATAGATTTTTTTTTTTAGTACCTTAACTATGTTAGTCTGTTGTCTTCTGGCAAAGAGCATTGTCAAAAAGTCTGACAAGCTAATTTTGTTTTCTTTACTGTGACTTAGTCTTTTAAAAAATCCTGGGTTTTGAAATGATCTTTTTTTTTTTTTTTGAAGTAGGTCAGTTTTCCTAAGTAGACAAGAGTACCCTTTTAATATGTAGTTTCACTGGGCCCCGTGGCACACTATAATTCCAGCTACTCAGGAGGCTGAAGTGAGAGCATCACAAGTTTGAGGCCAGCCTTAATCTTCAGTATGCACACACATATACAATCAATCAATCAATATGTAGTTTCAAAGGAGAGGGGTTTTTTTTGTTTTTGTTTTTTTGGTGGAGGGGTTGGGGGGACATTTGTGTATGTGTGGCAGGGGTTGGTTGTTTTTGCAATGCTGGGGATTGAACCCAGGGACATGAGATGAGCATGTGCTCTTACCACTGAACTACATCTCAAGCCCCCTCTTATTTTTCTTATAAGAGACAGGGTTTTGCTATGTTTTCCAGGCTTCAGGATCTGCCAGTATAGATGTGTCTTTTTAATCTTCTTTGTGTCTATAACTTTTTTTAAAAATTCACTTTATCTTTTTTTTTAAGTTGACAGTTTTATTGAGATAATTTGTGTAAAATTAACCCTTCAAAAACATACAATTCAGGCCAGGCACAATGGCACATGCCTATAATCCCAGCAGCTCTGAAGTCTGAGGCAGGAGGATTGTGAGTTCAAAGCTAGCCTTGGCAACTTAGCAAGGCCCTAAGCAACTCAGTAAGACCTTGTCTCTAAATTTGAAAATACACACACAAAAAAAGTTACAATTCAGTATTCTTCATGAATATTTCTGTGAGTATACTATCACCAGTCTCTTTTGTTGTTATTGTTACTGGAAATGAACCCAGGGGCACTTAACCCCTGAACCACATACTCATTCCTTTTTTATTTTTTAATACAGGGCCTTGCTAAGTTGCTGAGGCTGCTTTCAAACTTGGCATTTCTCCTGCCTCCACCTTCCAAGTCACTGGGATTGAATGTTTTATACATTTTCAGAAATTTTAGAAAGTTCAGAAAGAACCCACTATACCATTAGCTACTATTCATTTCCCTTTTCACAGCTCCTAGAAACCACTAATCTATTTCTGTCTCTGGATTTGCCTATTATATGGACAGTTTATGGACATCTCATGAATCATATAATATGTGCACTGATTTATTTAACTTTACATAATGTTCTCAAGGGTTATCCATGTTTTAGCATATGTCAATACTTCATTCCTTTTATGGTCAAATAATGTCCCATTGAATAGATTTACTATGTTTTGTTTTTCTGTTAATCAGTTAATGAACATTTGGAGTTTCTACTTTTCAGCTATTATGAGTAAGGTTACTATGAACATTCATGTTCAAATTTTCTGTGTTTCTCACGTTTTCATTTCTTTGAGGTATATACCTAGGGGTAGAATTATCAGGTCATTTGGTAACTCTAATTAGTATTTGTGGAATTGCAAAACTATTTTCAAACTGGCTACACCATTTTACCTTCCTACCAGCAAGGTATGAGGGTTCTGATTTCTTGGTGATCATGGTATCTTCCCTGACAGGTAAGAAAGAGTTCTGACTTCTCAGATCTTCAGCCACACATATTGTCTGTCTCTTTCATTCTAGTGATACTAGTGGTATAAAGTGATATCTCATTGTGATGTTGATTTCCATTCAGCTCATGACTAATAATGTTTTCTGTCCTTAATTGGTCATTATTAGAATTCTGGATATATCATTTATAAAATACATGATTTGCAAATATTTTCTTTTTTTTGGTACCGGCGATTGAACCCAAGGGCACTCAACCACCAAGCCATATCCCCAGCCCAGTTTTTGTATTTTATTTAGTAACAGGGTCTCGCTAAGTTGCTTAGCACCTCACTTTTTGCTGATGTTGGTTTTGAATTCTCAATCCTCCTGCCTCAGCCTCTCAAGCTGCTGGGATTACAGGCATGCACCACTGCACCTGGTGCAAATATTTTTTTCTGCTATGTAAATTGTTCTTTTACTTTTTTGATGATATCATTTGAAACACAGAAGTTTTTTTGTTTGTTGGTTGGTTTTGTTTTGTTACTAGGGATTGAACTCAAGAGGTGCTTTATCACTAAGCCACATCCCCAGTTCTTTTTATTTTTTAAGACAGTATCTCACTAAGTTGTTTAGAGCCTTGCTAAGTTGCTCAGGCTGGGCTTCAGCATCCCAAGTTATTGGGATAAGGTATGCACCACTGTGCCTGGGTAATTTTCATATAGAAGTTTATCTAATTTTATTTATTTATTTTTTTCACTTGAGCTTTTTGTTTCATATCTAAGAAATTATTGCTGAGTCCAAGGCCATGCAGATTTACTTCTATGGTTTCTTACAAGAGTTGTATAGTTTTAGTATTTCCACTTAGATCTGTGATGTATTTATTTGCGTTCACCTATGTTCATACACATGGGTGAGAGATGAGGAGTACAACTTCATTTTTTTTTTACATGTATATATCCAGTTGTCCCACCACCATTTGTTGAAAAGACTTTCTTTAATTATCTTTATATCACAGTAACTATGTGTGGAATTAGACCAAGATCCTTTTCTGTTACTTATTACCTATTAGTAAAATAAATTTTTCTATAATCTTAAGACAAAGAGAATGAGCAAGGATAGGTTTCCTAGCTTCATGGTCTAAGTTAAATCTTTCTCTTCTGTGGTTTTTGTAAAGTGGAAATACAAATACATCTTGTCTGAGATGTACATATTCTGTTCTTCTGCACCACTTTTATCTGAACCTTCTCTTTTCCTTTGTCCGTTGTCCTCTATTTTACAACTTGGATTCTATTCCCAGCCATTTCTCTTTATTGGGACTTTATTGTGGAAGGGAGCATTGATTTAATTTTGAGAGCTTATAGGACCCAGATTCAGTATTGCATTGCAGTCTGGGGCATTTTTTTATAAATGTGATCTTAGTTTCTACTGCTATTCTCAGACTGGCCCACTGTGCTGTCCAGTGAGCACCTATTGACTATGAGGTTCTTCTGTACTTGAGCTGTCAGGACTGTTCCCACACAGATACAGATACTGTGTGGATCTTGTGGTTGTCAGAGGTTTGTTAACTCCTACTTATGCTTGGAGGTTTGTCTCCTGATTTTACTGTGAACATTGTGAATTTTTGGTTTGCCATGCTCATTGTTGTATCGGGTTTTATGGGGAGATTTAGAGGAGATTCAAAATTACACTGCCAGTGCTATCATTTTCCTGGAATTATTTGACTAACAAATGATTTGAAGCACATTCCATTCCTTTTTAAAACCAATGTGGCATCTACAAATTAAAAGAAAAAAATGTGATTCAGTAGTTGATTCTTAGTTTAATGCCAAGTAATTCTGTAATGAATTACAAAAACTTTTTCTACTGTATTAAATATCATAAAATAGTATACCTGTTGAATATAAGCCATATTTTTTCCAGTGATCAGTAGTTTAATGATTTGTGAGTTGTCATGTTTTTACTGTACTAAGAATCAACTTTTTCCTTTCAGAATAACAAGCCTTTATACTCATTTGAAGATAATTCAGACTACGTTTATGATGTTATGTGGTCACCCACCCACCCAGCCCTGTTTGCCTGTGTTGATGGCATGGGGAGATTGGATTTGTGGAATCTCAATAATGATACAGAGGTGAGCAGGAAAATAACAAAAATTGCACTGAAAAATAGAAAATTGGAGATTTATTCAATAATTTGTGAAATTCCTTTTATCCCAAAGAAATGTAGGACTCCGATTGTGGCTTCATCACAAAGAAACCAAATAAGCTTTGTACCCTAAATACAAACAGCATGCTGTGCAGAACTGAAGGGAGAAATAATGTTGCCATGAGCACTGGGGCATTTCCTTTAACTTATGAAAAGCAGTATCTTGTCTCTAATGTCCTGGCAAAGTCTCGTTCAAAAGGCAGCTGGTATATTTTCCATTCATAAGCTGGAAAATAGTTTCAGACTACTGAAGTAATGTTAACCTTAATCCTAAATTTCTGAATTATCCTTTTGGATGTGATAGAATTATGATTCATAAATATAAGTCTTAGCCTGCCTTGTTTGAATGAAGGAGAAATGTATTTTGATGACTTTTTCTGTGAAGGATTGAAGTCAGTTCCTGTACTATAAAATGAATATAGAAACCATCAGATTTCCTAATTGCTATACTCAAATAACATTAGCAGTGAAATTTAATTGCAGCTATCACTTATTTTTAGTCATATGTTTTTACCAGCAGAGAGGCTAAAATGTGCTTAAGATTTCTGTGTTGCTGTTAGTTGGTAGAAGTAATATTAGCAGTTCCCATGAGTAATGGTTGTTGAGGAGAAACTCACTTGGTGCCTTTTCTCACATCTCTTCATATTTTTGGTGGCATCTTTCCAAATCCCTGAAGTCAAATGGGTGGTTGTGCAGGACAAGGAAGTTATATATTGCAAATGTAAGAATTTTAGCATTGTCATCTACAGACTTAGTAATTTTGGGAGTAGGAAAAGGTGTTAAGTAAGCCTTGCTGAATGATTAGAATTTATTTTACCTTTTACCTAGGTAGGTATTAGGTACTAACTTTATTTTCTTAGCTTTGATTTTGGTACCAGAGATTTGTGATTATAATTAAGTGTGGGTGTTTCCCATAATAGTTAAAGAATACACCAAAATAGGTTTCTTATACTGTGGATGTAGCTCAGTGGTAGAGTGTGCTTGTCTAGCATGTGTGAGGCCCTGGGATTGATCCTTAGCACCACAAAAAAAAAAAAGAAGAAGTTTCTTTATAACAATTTTGAGCTAATCATCTGGGGAAGACTGGTGTCAATTAAAGGATTATTTTGGCCACATTTCAAAACTTTAAATTTTGGGGGGACTTTTTAGTCTGAATTTATTTGCTTCATGTGTTTTCCTCAGCATAGGAGATACACAATCAGACCCAAAAGGCTGGTAGTGCTGTATTAGTGCCATCCATCATCATGCCTTCATTCTGAGTTTGTGCAAATTAAGGGGTTTTGGAAAGACTCATGGTGCACCTTCAGTGTGAACTATTTTTAGGAACTGAGGATCAAACATAAGTTTCAGAGATCCAAGCTACAAAAGTAATTCCTGTCTGTAAAACGGAACCATGATCTGTTTATGAGGGCTTTTGAAATGTTTTCCTCTTACATGGGATTTGACCATATGTTTTCAAACAGCTTGGCTACTTAAGTTAAAACAACAAAGAGTCCTTTATTAAAGAAAAGGTATTTCAAAATGGTATATCCAGTCATGTGAGAATTTCTTATAAAGCACTTATTTCCCAAACCATGTTCAAGGATTGACTATAATGTCATTCATAATATATTGCTGAATAGGAAGAAAGTTGGGAAAATTCTTTATCCATTTTCATCTATTTTTTTAAACAGATTGGAAGAGGAAAAACTGTTTTACATGTTTATAGAAATCTTGATGAAACTTTTAACACTGCACTATATTTTAAATGACTTTAGGTACCAACTGCCAGCATTTCTGTGGAGGGTAATCCTGCTCTTAATCGTGTAAGATGGACCCATTCTGGAAGAGAGATTGCCGTGGGTGATTCTGAAGGACAGATTGTTATATATGATGTGGGAGAGGTATGGGGCTTACTGTCTGTAATTTTGACACATCTATTTAGTGACATTGTAGTGAAGGTATCTTTGTGGATCCTGAATTGTATAAACCATATGCTTGTATACTTCGTACCACAAAAGAAACTCTTGAGATTTTCTTTCTAAACTGGATGTTCTGTGTCCGTGGGTAGATTTTGAGACTAATATAGTATGATGGAAGTACTTTGTTTCTTGAAGAATTACTGGAAATCATAAATTCTTCAGGCAGAAAAAGAAATGTGGAGTTATAGATGGACACTGGAATTTTAAAGAACTGATACTAGTTTTTTGTTTTTTTTTTTCATACATTTGTTTGGGCCAGATAGTAGAAACCAAAAGTAGTATTTTTTGAGAATTATCTGATGACTGAAATGTGAATCTGGATCCTTGATCCATTATAACTGAATTCAATGAGATGAGATGCAGCTCCCTCATCTTTAGTGCTCTGATGGGCTCTATGGTAATGCCCAGGATCGATTCCCTCCATTTTAGTCCTGGCTAGTAACTTTGTCATTTTTCTATTGCTGTTTTATGATTCCTTATCCTGACTGAAAATCCCATGGCCTCTAGCAATTGAATCTGAAGGGAAGTAGATTGAATCATTTAGAACAGCCAGTTGATCTGCACAGATGGAAATGTTCTATGTCTGTACTAATGTGGTAGCTATTAGCCACATATGGCTATTGAATAATTAAAATGTGGCAGTACAACTGAAGAACTGAATTTTAAGTTTTATTTAGCTTTAAATATAGTTACATTGGCTAGTAACTCCCCTACTGGATAGTGTAGATTTAGAAGGAGGAACATCCATTTACCACAGAGTGGCTTATGTCCTATCCTGATAGGCTCGGTGATATTATTTTGGCAATTATCAAAAATTTTTATCACCCAACTGCCTCTGTGAGGCAAAAGAACTGCAGTCTCTTTTTCTTTTATTATCTTGTTACAATCCTAAATGTGAAATAGTAGCATAGCTTTTTGTGAGGGAATCATGAAAGGTTATCTTCAGATGAAAATAATGCTTCAAAACTATTTCTAACTAGGAATGAGATGAAAATGAACTAAAAAATTTTTAAAGGAATTCCCACCAGCAAAATCCATGAGATGGTACACAGGAGTAAAATTTACAAAGCATCATTGTTATTCTCTCTTGCACTGATGGTGATAATAGCAAAGTCATTTCTGAGGCTGTCACAACATACTTGACAAACACCATCTTTTGTTTTGAAATGTTGTAAATCATTGTTATAGTCCCTGTAATTATGGAAAGGCCGTTTAGGTCAATTATTACTTTTTAGTGGAAAAAATTATTTGAAAACAAGCTGAATAATAGCAGGTAAAATGATCTTTTATTTCAGTGTAACACAAAACATTGTCTTTCTTTTAACAGCAGATTGCCGTTCCCCGCAATGATGAATGGGCACGATTCGGCCGAACACTTGCAGAAATTAATGCAAACCGAGCTGATGCAGAAGAGGAAGCAGCTACCCGAATACCTGCTTAGTTCCTAAAAAGAGGAGTATAGCCTTTAGTGGACCGGGGGAAGGCTCTACAGTAGATCCTAAGACTATTTGCATGCTTTTGTCTAAATGATAATTAAAGAGAAATTTCATGGATTAAACTGTTGATTTAATGCAGCAAGCAAATCTTACAGTGCCCCTTTTTATATTAACATGCATTTTTTTTATTTGTCATTTTTAATACAGCTGACTGATTTTACAGAACACAGGGATATATTTAATACTATTCTTTTGAATTCTTTTCGATTTATAACACTATATACAGTTATTTCTAAAGCACAGATTAAATAAGTTCTGCATATTTTAAATAATCATAATTCCCTGTTAAACTTGTAATGTTCTCACTAGTCATAATATAAACATTGTTTCTTCTTAGTTGCAGCATGCATACACCTATCCAAGTTGCATTCTAATATCCTTTCTCTTTATAGTTCATGTGGTAGTTACCTATAAATAAAAGCAAATATGTGCTAACTTTTCATTTTCACTCCTTGCAATTTTAATTTTTCCATCACTTTGTAGTCTTTAATATATACATATATATTCTTTAATCCCCTGTGTGTGTGTATGTATATACATACACACACACACACACACACACACACACACACACACACACACACCTCTTAATCCTGTAAAGCTTTGTGCCTTAAATATGCCATACAGGACATTATAGATCTCCCTGTGCATTAAGAATGGATGTCTATATAATCTGTCAGTGAAAAATTTCCCCTAGTTTAACTTTTGTGCTGTTCTTTCCATCTATATTTACTTTAAAGAATAAATGGAGTAGCTGGAATTGTGGCTCAGTGTGAGGCCCTGGGTTCAATCTTAATACCACATATAAATAAACAAAACAGAAAAAAGTCCATTAACAACTAAAAAATATTTTTTAAAAAAAGAATAAATGGAAATCTCTTATTATTTTCACTGATTGAGACTATTATGATTGTGACCTCTCAGAGTAAAGCCTCCTTTGAGAGAAACTGATTTCATGGTTACAATAAAGATGAAGAAAAGTGCTCAAATGACGCATACTTTGACACTGAATCAACTCAATACCTTCAGATCTGTTTCCACACTTTCTCTACAAGTGTGAAAGGTAGGTGACAAATATCTAAGAACTAGTATTGAAATCAACCTGTTTCAGGACTAGAGGAAAGGCCTATGATCTGATCTTGATTTTTTTTTATCCACTTTACATTGTCCATTCCCTTGATCCTCCTTTGTTCTTTTAAAGTGTAACTTTTATTCAACAGGATTTGAACTAGGAAGGAAGATTAGTAATTGGAATTTGAGCATTTTTAATAATTCTAACAAAGGCTACTTGGGATAGAATTCTAAATAATAACAAAACTTCCTGTGGATTTTCTGTAGTGTAAGGAATTATTGACCAGGAATATTAGACTCAGACTCTAGTTCTAGCTCTGGCACCTATGACAAATATGATTTTAGCCATAAAATCCGTGTTTTCATTCTTTTCTAAGTTAATTAAGTTTGAATTAGATGATATCTGAATTTATTTCTGTCTTTAAAATTATTAATTGAAATTATGTCAAACAATTTCCCACTTTTATATATTCAGTTTTCATAAATTGACCCCCCACAATTGTCCATTATGTACCAAAGACAACAATTCAAGTTATCTCATGGTGACAGAGTCAGAAGCTCATTTTCAGCAGGGTCACATTGTCTTTGTATAGAAAAATTCATGTATTCGCTATAATAGTAATATTTTTACCCTCAATTTGTAAAAATGCCTAGAAAGGGGGAACACATAAATGTTAAAATACAGTGTTGAGTAAGGGTAGAACTCAAGAGATGTAACAAATCAGATACTCACCAGACTCAAGTTGTGTTCAATTGTAAAAGAAAATAAAATTGGTAAGTATTTGCAAAATACTCATCACCGAGGAGTTTTTTCTTTGGGGGAATAATTTCTCTCCCCCGCTCCCAAAATCTTAATGTAGACCTTTGCCTATTCAATTTTAGTATACCTTTCTAGGAAAACATGAACTTATGTAAGGAATTATATTTACAGTTGACTATATAATAGCAGAAGAGAAAGTACTAAAACTGTCATTGACGTAGAATTTTCTGATAAGATGTTGATTAGCTCTTACCCAAGAGCTAATTATAGCTCTTAATACTTTTAGAAATGAAATACAATTTTGAAAAACTAGTTACAGAAATTACTATCAGGTTTCCTTTTTTTTTTTTTTTTTTTTTCCTAAGCAGGAAACAAGTTGTAGTTTTCTGGCTAATTTTTGTTGTTTGGTTTTCCTGTTTGGAATGGGAAGTTAAAATATTATTATCCTTGGGTAGCATTTAAGCTAAATAGTCATTGATAGAAGCTTTCTTCCTCCTTAAAACTACAGTTCCCTACAAAGTTTGGAAAAATGTCTTCATATATTATGGTTGCAGTAATGCTGAGATACTGCATTGTGAATGAATGAATAACTTGAAGTGTAGAATCAGGAACTAAAGGAATGTAGTACTAGGGATGATTGATCCTAGTCTTTCAATGTTTTAAGAACATTGATTTATTCTGTTCTGTACTAGTACAGATAGACTATAACCTCCATCATTTGAACCATGTGGAAGGGAAGGCCTTAATGAAAATCTACTATAAAATATATCAATCTTCCTCTTTCTGTTGTGCAGTGCCTTTTAAATGTCTTTTCTACAACCCCAGTATTTCAACATTGACATTGTAATTCCCCAAATAGAAAAGTCTGCATTAATCAGATGTATGTTAGACTGGAGCTCCAGTTACAACTCTAGCTGCTCATTGGTATCCACGGTGATGGTATCATGTTTCAATATTGGGCACAAGTCTAAATTAAAAAGTCAATGGCTGCTGGGCATGGTGGCACACTCCTGTAATCCCAGAGGCTCAGGAAACTGAGATAAGAAGATCCTAAGTTCAAAGCCAGCCTCAGCAAAAGTGAGACACTAAGCAACTTGGTGAGACCCTGTCTCTAAATAAAATACGAAATAGGGCTGGGGGTATGGCTCAGTGGATGTGTGTCCCTGAGTTCAAGCCCCAATACCAGAAAAAAAAAAACAAGAAGTCAATGGCGTTTTTTTTGTTGTTGTTTTTTTTTTTTTTAGTTGTAGATGGACACAATGTTTTATTTTTTTATGTGGTGCTCATACATGCTAGGCAAGTATTCTACTACCCAGCCACAACCACAGCTCTAGCTTTGCTTCTCTTGATCATTTGGAGTATCAAAAAATTTTTGATACTACATAACAAGAAAGGAGTTCTTTCTAGCTGTCATCTTGCTGATAGGTAGGCAAGTAGGGAGACCTTATAGATTTGGAGAAAATATTCCCAGGACTGGAGTAGTGGCTCAGTGGTATTGTACTTGCCTAGCACATGTGAGTTGTGAGGCACTAGGTTTGATCTTCAACACTGCATAAAAACAAAGGTTTTTAAAAATATTCCCAAATAGAACTGTATGTTTGACTCAAAGATTTAGAAAGATGCCCCAAAAGCAGTATAGGAAGAACATTCATGTTTAGTATTTATTTTCAAGTGGAAAATTACAGTTAGGAACATTCCTTTATATCTTTAGTCTTATTGCCCTGAAGTGTTAATAATTTACTTGTACTATATTTTAAAGTCCTTTCATATATAGGAAACATGCAGTTGATTTTAGCAAAAGATCTTTACAGTCCTAACCAGAATGCCAACTGCAAGACTTGGAATAGTCATCACATTGTAATGCTTTTCATAATAGACCAGTGCTCTCCAGACCTTTGTGTTGGACTTTAGGTGTTTAGATTTTCTTTCTGCCTGCCATGTTCACAATTCCCCAACTTCTCAAAGTTAGAATGGATGTCAGGTATTTCCGTTTTCAGTATGTAGCTTCTAGCCACAGATAGTTTCAACATAGCCAATCAGCAATCTTTTACAAACTTTTATAAAATTATGGTATTTTGTATTGTTAGTTTCATAGCAGGAATCTCAGTTTGGGCTTCTTAATATTCCATTACCAGTTCCCAGTCAGAGGATGGAACAGCTTGCACTCAGGTAAGCTTTTTGAAAGGTCTCTTTCACTTTGTGAGGTCATTTATTCAGGTCACTGGTAATGTATTATCCTGCCTCTCTCATAATGTACTTTATTTGCTCAGAAAGCTGTGGGGCAGTGATTGTATGGGGTATAGAATACACCTGCATTGCATCGAACATGCAGAGACCTGACACTGTGACTTCAGAAATCAGGTATACTACCAGTAAGACCTTGATAGCAAGTAATTTTATCTTTTGTGAATTTTTGTACTAGATTTTTTTAAGTACTTTTTTTCTGAGCAAAATAACAGAAATGCTTTAGAACAAAATTTCTTACACTTAAGGGTGGCTTGGTATATGAGAAAGAATACTGGACAACCAAGTTTTATTCCTGATTTCCCCCATTACCAATAGTGTAACCTGGAACACAGATCAGTATTGTTAAATGAAAATATTTGCTTTATGTGACAATTATGTAAGAGAATGTTTATGTGGAAACTTTGTAGATTATAAAGGACTATGTAAGTAAAGGATTTTTTTTCCTTTGTGGTTTTTTTTGTTTTCTCCTATAGGGATACATGTATTTGGAACTCTAAATCAAACACGGTTTGTGCTAGCTCTTTGAAGCTTGACTCCATAAAGCAGTTTCAAGTTCTATCTCTATGGTTTGTTTGCTGTTGATGTAGCCCTAAGCAGAGACTGGCGAGAATCACTTT